TAAAATTTTCAAGGAAACACTCAGATCCGTAGAAACACTTTGCCGAACAACAAACTGCACAAGAAAAATTTAAAGGAGCATTAGTGAAACTAGAAAAACTATTGAATGACACATTTCCTGTGTTGCTTTGATGTCTTATTAAAATATAACTTTGTAATTTTTGTCCAAAATTTTGCTGATTTATACGTGTAATGGGAAGAAAAAATTCCTGAAATTCTGCTGAGCAGTTTCCTTGGATATGTTGCAGGCAAGTAGTCAAATCAGACATTTGGAATTATTTATGCTGAGAAGGAAGTGTGTAATATCGTATTTTTGACAAAAAAAAAAAAAAAAAAAAAAAAAAAAAAAAACAGTTTTCAACGTTTAGAAAGTAAGACTCAATCAAATCTATCAATTTTTCTTGTATTTTGCTTTCTGAACGCTTCCCGTACATATATGTATATTTCAACAGAAAACCTCTTTAAAATTCTTTATTTTATGACATGCTGTACATTTGAAGATTAATGCTCGTTTAAGGACTGAAAATAATAATTTATTTACTACAATTCCATGCAGATTTTCACAGAGAGTTATTTTTCAAAATGAAATAATTTTTTTGTCGAAATTTAGTAAAAAATAATCGGAATATCAATCTAAGTAAGAATATTTGAGTACGTTTGCATAAGCATTTGACGATATGCTCGATTTGACTATTTACCTGCGACAGACATGCAATTTGCAAGTGGAAATTTCATAATGTTAATTTTTTTTTTTTTTTTTTACCGCGGTTTTTTGTCAGGAAAACGACGAATCTTGACAGTTTAGTTTTATCATGCGATCGCATTTTCATGATCATTATTTGTGGATCCGCGTTGTGAAACTAAACTCGATATTTTTGTTCTACTAGCGTTACCCTAGACTTTTAAAAACCCTCTCAAACAACACCCCCCTTCCAAAAACATCACGTTATAGAGTCTTTTCCTCACCGAGTTACCTCTCCAATAACCGGGTGAAAATCGAGGTCTTCGATTTTGACAATAAGTTCATCTTCATATTATTTAATTGAAATCGCACTGTCAAGAACAGTTCCATAAATCATTGAGAAGTAAGACATTGCTCCATTCCATTACCGTTCGATGTTGCGCATGATGTTTATAAAATGATCCTAATACCCATGCTCGGGTGGCAATAGCTTAAGAATACTTATAATTAACAAATTGAAATGCTCATGGACAGCAAAGTTATAGACATTGAATCATAATCTGATCAAGCGGCACTGTTGATAAATTTTAATTTAATGTAATCTTTACAAAATTGCATCCTTCGTTAAGCTCTAAATAATTTTAAGGCATCTCACTCGTTGAAATGACTCTCGATGATAAAGAGTTCAAGTTTTGCCTTGAAAGTCAGCTCATTCGTGTCATTTTTGAACACAAAGAATGTTACCCGTAAGGGGAGCGAGACAGTAAAAAAATTAAAAAAAAAAACAAAAAAAAAACAATAATGTCAGTACGGTCTCTCAGGGGTGCAGAAAATGCCCAATCTCGCAACCTTTGTATCACGGCACACGCTACGCAAATTTCGGTCATGAGTCAATTTTACAAACAATTACGACCCTTTGTTTTTGACTTAATATTTACAAAAAAGTGTGGCAAATCGCACAATTCATCAAAAAATCGGGCATATACGTTATTATCATGCAATCGTGAAGTACAGAATAATTCATCTAGTCTTTGCAGGATCTGAGTATCCTTCAGATCTACTCATGATGAGTTTCGGGAATTTAAATTGATTTCGGTCTTCAAAGAATTAAATGCTATGACTCAGAAGGCCGCCCTACAAGGGAAAAAGCAAAATTACATTTACATTTCGAATTTACAAATCAGGTAGATTGCCTACACGTGTATAAAATGTCTTCAAATTTTCGAAGACATTTAAAAAACTTTATTGCATCAGAATTGAGGGATATTGGTTACCTGAATTTTCTGAGAGTGAACCATAGGTGCATCAGTAGTTCTGAATATTTTTCAATGAACTGCATTTTAATGAAAAATATAAAAGTTTATACCTAATTGTGGATTTCTCTATATGTTAATGAAAATTAGCTGTAACAAGCCACAATTGATAATGTGTGTACATTCATCTATTTTGAAATTTTGTTGATTAAAAAGGATATTGGCCGCGATGAAGCGCCACAGAAATATTGTTAGCAGACCTTATAAGTGTAACACAATGTCTATTGCTTACGGGTGGGATTGTTGTTTGACAAATTATGCTCTTAAATTACAGGTTTTATCATGATGTCAAATATATACTTCAGTAATTATTATTTTCTAGACAATGGATTAATATTACATGAATCTGAATGCTCTGGATGTTCGGCAAAAGTCAATTTATGTAAGGTCTGGATAACTACAATGTGTCAACTTCTCATTCCTTAGCATTCAAATATTTTAAAATATTCAGTTAGTAAAGATGAGAATTTTCACTTTTATGTTCTCAACATGAATCAGTGAGAACGAAAACACACCAATCGGAAAAAGTAAAATGTTCAAGAGACACAGAAAACTGAGCAGCGGGCGGAGAAGTTAGTTTAAGAGAAAGCTTTTTGGTGCTGAAGGACAAGTATTTGGCGACATTATAAAGGACCAAGTTGCAATAGATATGCTATGTTTAATGAGAGAGAAGTATTACAGGCGTTTAAAAGTCCCCGAGTTGGTATGTTTTCGTTCTCATCGGACCTTAAGACAATGATTTTTCATGGTTTGCCTGAAAAATGTGAGATTTTACGGCATGTAACCCTCCAATATTTGTATAACTTATTAATACAATGTATATGGACCCGAAAGGACCCACGAAATCCGGTGGTCGCCCGATTTTATTTAAAGGCATAAAATCAGTATGTCCAATAAAGTACTTTAATGCTTTTCTCTTTCCGGTACTTTTTCCTGTCAAATATTTTCATTGATGGTACTAAGTACTTTAGAAAAGTGTTGTGATTTGCCGGCTCTGAAAAAGTGAAACGACCCCTCCCTCAAATGATGGAGAAAGGCTCAATTATTATACGGTGTATTTTCGTTCTCACCGCCCTTTTCCGACGCTGCTTCGAGCACTTCACACAGTTGCAGTTTCAAAACGCCCTTTTGCGTGCAGATTCGTCTATCAGTAAGTGTCACTAAACCGTAAAAAAGTAAAAATAAAAAAAAAACCCGAGTTGATGTGTTTTCGTTCTCACTGATTCAATTGGCATGTTGCGTAAATCATTCTCCATGGTTTATGAAGTGACTATCGGAGGAAAATAGACAGTGTAGGTGATATTCTATAATTGCTAATTGCTACGGGTATAATGATCTTGTTCGAAAAGTTCTCTGATAGAAAATCAGTCTAAAATTCAACTTCCTCTGGAGATGGAGGTGTGCAAATCTGAAGAACCTCTTTCGCGGAGAAAACACCTGTCTCATCATAGTAAAATCACATGACAGACAAGTTTGTAGGGCAAAGTTATGTGAATTCCGAAACGGCTCTGAAGTTCTATTAACCACACAGTACCATGATTAATATATTAATGGTGAATAGAGTATCTCTTCTACGAAACTCATGTTTTATTTACGAACATTAACTATTTTATTATTCGAGAATGCTAGCCCTTCGATGACGGTCATGTTGAACATGCGTCGCAAAAGAATGTCATCACCTCAGCAATTTTACATTTTTATTTCAGAAGGAGACTTAGAGTTCGAATTCAGTGAGCACAGTTGATTTGATAAGACGAGCTTCAAAAAGTCCGAAACGCCATCACCATAAAGTAGCCCTGGTTAAAGTTCCGAGGACTTCTTAACGGAATCTTTCAAACTTAGGGGGCAAACTTTGGACTCATGTTTTTAAACTTATGTCAAATCATGCGTATTTGGGTACTATTCAATTAAAACTATTACGATTTGAAGTAAACCAAATTATTTTTGTATGCCCTTGTCAATGTTGAAAATGAGAGATTGAAGAGGAGAGGAAAATAATTTTAATTTTGCAGTTTTCTATCGTGTCAATACCTGATTGAGACACTATGACAAGGGCATTCCGGCAAATTCTCCGAATTATGTCAAATTCATTAGAGGGAATGAGAAAAACACCCTTCATTTTCCCCCTTCTGATGAACTCCATGATCCAATACCACGAATCCCAAGAACTTTGAGCTTCCAGCATTAGTGACAAATTTCCCAACACTCGCATAGGGCACGTGAACATTTAGGGGAGCAAGCGATCAAATGTGATGGAAACGTTTAGTTGTCTCCCGCAGACACTTGATTAAGCATTTCAGCTCTGAAACCTGCGTCAGTACGGGATCATGCGTCAATCAAAAACTTAATTTTAACCGACGGACTGCGCTCAAAACAATTTTTTACACGTTTATGTGCATATTTGATGCGACTTGCGTGATTTTTTTGCACGCGTGTGAAACCGGTCATAACCTCGTGTGAAAGAAAAAGAAGAAAAACCGAGGGAGAAAAAAATTCCATGACCTCAGACAAAGTATGTTGAAAATTCCAACCTACGCCACCAATTTCGAATACAACACATATGACCTTTCATTCTTATTTTCGGTACTTTACGTGGATCCTATTGCTCATGTCGTAACAATTGCCCGGTATTGCAAACCGGATTTTCTAACTTATTTTTGTTGATGCTTAAGCATAATGATCGGAGATCCCTCGGCCATTTCTACACGTTTCCGTCCATGCCACAGACCCTATAATATTTGCTCTATCGATTTACATTGCTCATTGTAATCGGCGATTTTATTTTTTATCCATTCATTTGCTCTCTGAAGAGCTGATGGGTAAGTATTCCCAGACATAAATCGGAATTAGAATATGATTGGGGACAATGCTTCAAATGAAAGAAGTAACCCAAAATTTGCAGAAAGAACTTGGCTGAGGTACATCTGATTTCTTCCAGTCAAAAACGTTTCATTCCTCACATCTACACATGCTTTCTACAAGGAAAAAGACGAAATGTCGAATTACCTGCGACAATTTTGAAGAGGGGTGTCATTGAATTCGGCGGCTCTGAGTCGATACTTTTCCGTCCCACTTCGTTTACTTTCTTCGGCCTTCGTTTGTTAAGTCCACAAGTCCAAGATTCACTACAAGTCAAAATTCAGCACAACACAGATTCAATGAGTTCGATGAGCACAGAACCAAAGGAACCGATCGCGATTGGCGGAAACGAGCACGCTCGTAGGCGAACTAACCTCTAGCGCACACACTCAAACGGAACCGGAGGTACTCACGGTTAAGGACCCCTCGGGGGATGAACGGAAATGAAATCCGGAAAAATCGGTAAAAATCGATGGAAAACTGATTACGGTCCCGCGGAGGAAGGAGCCGGTGACGGTGAAGGCGTTCAGAGCGGGGCATCAACGTGCGACTGGGGTCGGAGGAAGGCACGCAGTCCCGGGTCCGGCCCGGTTGCGGCGGCGCGGCGTCCAGGGGGGAGGGTCCGGGTCAGGGGGGTTGGGGGGTTGGGGGCCGACGCGACGCACGAGCGAGGCAGGAGAGGCGGGGCCCGACCCTCCCTCCAACTCCGGGGCACTGGGTGCTACCGTCGCAGAAAGGGGGGAGCGACAAGCCATGGGTGGATTTGATTATTTCTCCCGACTCAACTCGGCTCGGCTCCGATCGGATCGCATCGGATCGGGAATCGGGCCCCTTACAAGATACAAGTCCCGAGTTACAAGAACGTTAATTAATTGCGACTCACGTGTGTATTACCACGCCGTTAATTTATTCGCTGACCCCTCCCCACGCCCCCACCCCCGCCCACCCCTTCGTGGCCCACCACCGCCACCTCTAAATTGCTACTTGCCTATTAAGCACCCCTCTCCCTTCGCCTCGACCTAACACAATATTTGGGGAAAACTAAAAGTTCCCCCTATTCTACTCGTGATAATTATACAATGATCCGCACTCATTACTCGACGGACGTTGGATAAATGGAGACTACATTTTTGAGAGGACACGCGCTGTGCTGATGTATGTTTGAATTGGACCGCGTTTAACAGAAAGGAACCAAGACACATCGGCTATTGCCAAATTTACCTGGGCAATTTAATTTTTTAAGAGAGAACGTTTGTGTGGATTCCTTTGAAAATTTTAAGGACTTTGCTTCGTGCTATGCGGAAAGTTCACTGAAATTTGCGCGAAAATCCGCACAACCGTTCTCGTGTAAAAAAAATAAATTGCTCGATTAAATATGGCAATAGCTGATGTGGCTTGGTTTCTCTCTGTTTAACGCGGCCCAATTAGATTTGGGTGTTGGCAAAATCAGGCATTTTATGCATTGAAAAAAAAGTTACGGGCTTTATAGACATACCGTCTGTTCCGGACTCAGAATCCGAATGTTCCGGGTGACAGAGCCGTAACTTCGATTTTTCCGGGTGCTACCCCCGGATTTTTGGCCTCTGTGCCCAGGTATGGTATGTCTACATGTATAGCCCGTTAGTAAAGTTTCGAGGGCCGGGTTTTTTTTTCAGTGAGAAGATGAAATGGACTTCATTTTGCTATCGGAACTAGATTGTTTGAATCATTTGTAAAAGCACTTATCTATACTTAGAAAAACTAATGGCAATTATGTCGTTTCTTATGTGAGCTGTAAATTGCAATTTCTAATTGCAAAATGCGGTTCAAATGGCCGTAGAAAGTTAAGACTGAGAGCGCCTGTTTTCTCTTGTCCCCCACGACCCTATCTTCTAGAGACGGAGAGACAATCTTACGGTATATTATAATTTTCTGAAGAAGCAAAGTTTTCTCTTACATAAAGCACAGTTTACATGGTTATAAGGCTGATTTGATGAATGAGAGTAAGGCTGAAAAAAAATAATGCCTAATTTCCCAAATATAAAAAATTTCCACTCGAGTTTAGATCGTCATTTCGCCCCACGGAGTAAGACCTCTGGTTTCAATTTAGTTGCAGTGAACACCATTGAACAAGTATTATATGTGTCACAGGCGGTTAGTAATCGTCAGCAATATGCAAGCGCTTCAAAATTCGGAAAAATCGCAATAATGCGTATCTGCATTACGAAAGCTTGATAAGTAATGACCTTTAAGAGTAGGATCTGGATTTGGAGCGCCTTCATCTTTTGTGATACTCTACGCTTTGTGTTGGAGTTAGTTTAGTTGCCAGTCCGAATGAAACCCAACTGAGATCCCGGATTTCATTTTATGCTCAAGTGAGTGTGCACATCACTATCGTGATTTTATGGGAAAAAGTGTGACTATTCACTTTAAAGGCAAAATGATCAGTTCTCCAATCTTGTTCCTTTATTTCGAAATTGTATGATTCTCCATTCATTTCCCAAGTAGCCTGAATATTATCGGCGATTGCTCTTTGCCCAATACAGTATGTCTGTCAAAAAGAGAGGAGTATTTTATACATTGATTTGATTCATTGAATCGTAGTTTAATTTTTCTCATCCTGCATTTACATTTGAAGTAGCCGAAAACCCAATAATTTTTGCATTTAGATTGATATTACCTACAGAACTGAACGCCAAATTTTTGTTATATCAGTGACTACAAAGCATCACAAGATATGATGAAAAAATTATACGAGTTGTATAGCCTTTCTGAAAAACAGGCAAAATTTTTACTCCCTTCCTCCGCCCTCCATAAAATGCGGCTCATCTCAGAGGCATAAGATACCGCACAACGATGATAAAAGCACCTCGAATTGCAAGTTTTCCCAGCTAACTTTGTGCAAAGGCGCGGCTTTACCTCAGAGTATCCTCTCGAAAAATAATTTTTTAGAAGAACGGACGTAGACAAATTTACTTCATCATTTAGGGAAGCCTGCGGTGTATCATAGTACCATTCACAAAACATTTAAATGCAGTGATTAAAATGAAAAATGGTGGTTTGAAAAACATGTGACCTATTGCAAATATAGTTGGTTGTAAATAGTCAACTTTCTTCGTTTTTAAAAATGCCCTCCCTGAACTTCTACGCCACTGAGAGTCCAATTGTTGAAAGGTGAACTTAAGATGGGCGTGAATTCAGCATTATTGTCTCGTGCGCAAGGATGCCGTAGAGGTCTTTTCGCCATCTTAGAAAAAAATCAAAAGGCGGGTGACTGGAACACGGGATGTTTGCATAATTTCTTTTTAAGTCTGCAGGTCAGGAAAAGTGAGACAATAACGTGAGACAAGTTAACTTTGAGTATGTATCGGCCGACAGAGGCCGCGGATCTAAAAGACTTGCGAAAACGGCGAGAGGGACCGAAGAGGAGTC